CATTTTCTTAAGGTATATAACTTTTAAAAACAAAATTTAACTGAAATAACCCAAAAATTCGGTATTTTCATACTGAAAAAGCACAAATATTCGTTGTGGATTAAATTTCGTTTTTTTTTTTGTAAACAATATTCAACGAAATTAAATCCCACACGAAATTTTATATGACTATAAATTGAAAAATTTTAAAACAACGAAATTAAATGCCCACGAAACTATTTTTGATAACGAAACAACGAAATTTTATGCCCACGAAAATTTGTGCTTCTCAGTAGTTAAAAATGTTTATTTCAGAAATATGAAAAATACTAAGGCTTATAACTTGGACTTCATATAAGTAAAAAAAATTAATAGACTTACATGTACTCTTCAAAAAAAACAAAATTTCCCAAAATAACCAAAATTCGGTATTTTAAGTTAAAAAATGATTCTTTGAGAAATATAAAAATACTAAGGCTTATAACTTGGACTTCATATAAGTAAAAAAAAATAAAATTTCAAGAAATTTACCTTCCAAGTGTGCCGGGGCTGGTAAAAGCAAGAGTTAAATTTCCCCCACTGATAGGGAAAGGGCCTGTGCCTCAGTAATTATTTCGGGCTCCCAAGAAAAAAGGATTTTGCCATTTTAATCTTGACAGGTGATGGATATCATTTATGGATCAGTGCCCCAGACATTCAGTTTATTATATATAAATTTATACCCGCACTTTCTTAAGAAAGTTCCTGTTGTTCTCTGTCCTCCTCAGCCTCCCGTCACACTTTTTTTTCCATGAACTCCTCCTACATTTTACACAGTAGCCTAATCATCTTTTGGGAGATGGTTTGGGGGTGTCATGTAGATGTGCAGTAAGGTTTTGGAATGTTGATTTTGCCCCGGGGGTTCAGATGGGGGTGAAAAATACTTTTTTTTAAAGCAAAAGCCCCTTCTTCCCTAACTCCTCTTTCATTTCACTCAGTACCTAATCATCTTTTGGGGTGGGTTTTTGGGTCTGTAGATGTGCATAAGGTTTCGGAATTTTCATTTTGCCCTTGGGGGTCAATTGGGGGCCAATTAAATTTTTTTTTTAAAAAGCCCCGTCTTCCCTGAACTCCTCTTACATTTTACTCAGTAGCCTAATCATCTTTTAAAAATGGTTGGGGGTGTCATGTAGATGTGCAGTAAGGTTTTGGAATTTTCAAATCGGGGTAGAAATTTGTTTTTTTTTTAATGTTTAATCACCCTGCCTTCAAGAACTTCCATAATATTTTATGGATTATCTTTAAACCATGATCATTTGGAAAATGATTGGTTTGTTTTGTGTATGTGTAAAATGGTTTCAAAATTTGCATTTTCATGTGGATGGCAAAAATAGGCAGAAAAAATGCCCCTCCCTAATCCAGGGGGTCATGATTTGTACAACCTTTTAGAATGTTTTCCCTATTAATCATGGTCTTTTGGCATTTTGAAGATTTGTTTCCTTTTATTCCTAAATAAAACTTTGATCCCTAATTATGGCCTGACCCTAGTCTTTAGGTCATGATTTGAAAAACTAGAAATATGTCTATAGGACATGAATTCCCGCCGGATGTATATTACTAATGCTACATGAAAATTTGTTTTAGTGTAAAAAGTTTAATGAAAATATCTTGAACAGTTTCTTTAGAAATGAAACTAAAATCTAAATAAATTGGATATAGATAATAAATTCTCACCAAATTATGTATAAGTGTATGCTAAACATAAAAATGTCTTAAATTATTTCTTTAAAACTAAGCAAAATACAAATTAAAGAGGAGGGAGGTCAAGGTCACAGTAATGTGCAAGATGAAGTTTTTGATGCAGTTGAATAGCTCTCACTTATACATATCAGCATATTATGTTTGACAAAAATATCTTGAATGATTTAATGAAACTGAGCTTAACACTTTTTTTAAAAAAAGAGAGGTCAAAAGGGAAAAGGGTTTGGGGTCAAAATGTTGTTGGAGTTGAAAAGCTTAACACCAGTATGAATTTTCTATTAGCATATGAAGTTTGATAAAAAGATAATTAATGGCTTATTTCAATCTTATATAAACACACATTTTAAAAAGTGGGGTCAAGGTCAAAGGAAAATTCAAGGTCAAATTAAGCTGATGCATTAATAGCTCTCAGCAGTATGTATAAGCATATGAAGTTTGATAAATATACCTTGAATTGTTTATTCAAAACTGATTAGACATGAATTTGAGAAAAGTGAGGCCAAGGTCACGGTCAAGGTAAAAAAGAGTGAAGCATTGTAAAGCTTACATATATGTATCGGCATGTGAAGTTTCATCACACAACTTGAATGGTTTCTTTAAAAAAAACCCCAAAACTAATTTAAAGAAAAGTTAAGTGTTGGTCAAAGAAAAAGTCAAGGTCAAAAGATATTGCTGCAGTTGGATAGTTTAATAGTTGCTCAATATGAACTTTAAAAAATTCTAGAAAGTTTCTTTGAGCCCGATGGAAAGACAGATGGAACGGTAGAAGACGGACATGACAAAAACTATACATGTATTCTTAATAATGGCATGGCATAAAAAAAATTGAATCTACATTATATGAGGATGTTTCCATATCAAGATTATACAAGCAAATTCAAAGAATTGTTTCTGTTTCTGTGTTTTAGTGATTGGGATGTAAATTTATGGGAATTTTTAAATATGCACTCCTATCATATTTTTGACAATTAGGTCAAAGGGGAAAAATATAGCATCTGGAAACATTTTTGTTGCAGGTAATGATCATGTCAAATATGAAATCCTATCTCTTTTTAATCAAAAGTTATATAATTATATAATATAAATTTTTGAAAAGTAGGTTAAACTTCTGGGTAAGGTCACAGAATCAAAAGTCATGATATATTTAGAAGTCTTTTCACATGTAATATACATGTATAATTTAAATGCCCTATCTTTTCTCTTTCAAAATGATCAATTTAAAATAATGTTATTTTTGGGAAAGTAGGTAAAATTTTAAGGTCAAGGTCTCACTTGCTTTAAAAAATCATAGTATATTTAGAAAGTTTTATGGTAATGTACATGTGAAATATGAAAACCCATCTCTTAATATTCAAAAGTTATGACCAAGGTTAACTTTATTGTGACAGATGCACATACTGTAATAAGATGGACAGACTGACAGACAAATAAGATTTAATGTCCCCCCCTTTCCCCAAAACGGGGGGCAATAATGCCCTTGCTGTTTTTAGAAGAAGTTTATGATGGAAAAAAACCCCTGTTTTCTTTAAAGCAAATTGATATTGTGTTTTTTATGTCATTTGTTTGTTTGTTGTTAAAGATCCCTTTCAGGAATTTTTCACTCATATGGGGACACCACCACTTGAAAAATGATGAGGACAAGGAAGATTTGAGGTCAACATTCATTTTTTCAACCATTAAGACGTGAAGAGATATTAACTCGATCCTTCCCCTCACCCCCTTTCCCAAAACCCCTGTTTGTTCATGTATGCAAACTACTATTTGTTTTTACATTTAACAAAAATTTTTAAAATATAAAATAAATTAAAGTTCCATCTTTTTGCATAATTTTATTCCTAATTTATAAAATGGTTGACACAAAATTTATAGTAAAATGTCATCATTTGTCATTACAGGGACAGGGATGGAATGGGGGAAACCCCCCCCCAAATTGCAGGACTAAAATTTTTAAACAAATAAAAATGACTTTGGATGCCCTCCACCCTAGAAAACAGACCCCACCATAACTTCTTTTTTTTTTTCTTCTCAGGAAATTCTGGTCTGAAAATCCCCCCTCCCTCCCTCCCTCCCAGAAAAAAATTCTGGATCTTGTAACTGAATGCAACGTCGATAACGGGGGGTAATTTTAAATGTGAAATTCGTCTATTGTAGCATCGGATGACCTTTGATCCTTTAAACTTTAACCTAACCATTTGCATTTAGACTTTTTACCCCAAAATTTTCCAAAACTTTTCCTTACCGACTGTCATAGGTCGTGTCATGAAATATAATCCAATTTAAACACAAAATGAAATAATTCCTACTGAAATACATGCAATGATGTGTACACCACATGCACGTGCAGTGCAATCAAAGAATGATAATGGTAAAACTAGTACTTAAGTTGAGTAGTGAGCAAGGCCACTGTGATGCAGGTGTTCAGATACATGTATAGTACAAGAACAAATTTAAAATTATCATTTACAAAAGATGTTTTTAAACTTTGCCATTTAGGCCTATTTCCAAAAATAGGCAAATAGGGTGTGTTTGTGTGTGTGTGTTAATGTATATGGGTGGGGGTGGGGGTGTGACTAAATTGATTGGGTATATGGCAGCTTTCAAGATGTTTCTGCCTAATCAAATATAAAAAAAATTTGCACATTTTTATAAAAACGCTTTACACTAAATTGAAAATATTAATTGTTGTTGACCCATATGAGAAAACAGATTTAATTACAAAGTTCCAATTTTGGACCAAAAAATTTATATCCCCCCTTTATCAAACCTAATTTACATCATTAATTAAATTCTGTTGTTTAATTTCAGACTGGTAATAATTAAGAATATGAAATACCTATAAGACCAGGTCATGGGTCACATGGTCACCTGAGCATATTATGCTCAATTTGATGAATACATTTATTATCTAAATTATTATTATCTAAATCTTGAATTATAAAGAATTTTTTCCCTTTGGGAAAGCCCAATTTGAAGGAATGTGCATTTAGAGGCAAACACCTTAGTGCGGGTATTACTGTCTCATGACAGCATCTAGTTAAATTCTGTTGTTTATTTTAAGACTGGTAATGAATTAAGAATATGAAATACCTATAAGATCGAGGCCCATGGGTCACCTGAGCATATTATGCTCAATTTGATGAATTCATGTATTATGTAAATTATTGAATTAAATTGACTTTCCTGGTAAAACCCAATTTGAAGGAGTGTGCATTTAGGGGCAAACACCTTAGTGAGGGTATTACTGTCTCATGATAGCATCTAGTTTTAATTATTTGTGATGTATGCAGGTATGTATACAATGTATACAGGTATTGTAATTACATTAACCCATTTAAATAGACAATAGATTCAATAGAGATGTGAATATTCTGCTTGATAATATACTATTAGTTCTTATTAAGGCGATTGACCCCATTTTTTCATTTTTATAAAAAGATATTTTTAATTTATTTACTGCTGTGACTTTCCTTTAGAAAAGACAAAACGATGAAGAGAAAGAAAGAAAAAAACCACAGAAAATAGAGATGTATAGGAAAGATAGAACTCTAAAAGAGGAAAAAGTCAACTTAAAACATGTGAAAGATCTTTTGAAAACAACTTGGTCAGCCTATATTGCAGAAGTGAAAAAGAAAGATTTTTCATCCTATGAAGACATTATACACGTAAAGCGGGACATCATCAGTAGAACAGCTAGATTAACAAGTCAGCTAAGTCAAATCACGGTAAAAGAAAGATCCTTTATTATACTTAAGTAGATATTGTCAGTAGTAGAAATTGTCAGTCTGGTGAATATCGAAAACGCAATAAGACACCACCTTTTTCTTTTAACAGAACGCCTTGTTACACAAAGAAAACGGAAATGAGGATTCTAAAATCAAGGCCTACAGAGTAGAACTTGCCGATGGATTAACTGAATATACGAGGGACGATAGAAAAGCAGCTCAAGTAGCAATAGGACATGGTATACAAGCACGAGGTGACACTGGTATATCTGGCATACCAAAGAGTCACATTCAAATGGAGAGGCAGAACCATGAACCTCAGAATGAACCTGTACATTCTTCTAGAGGATGTCTGTCACTAGAGAAAACAGACAAAGTTCTGAAGAACCACAACCGGATTATTTTGACCAGGACACCGAGAATACGTCCAAGAACTTGAGTGAAGAATATGCAAAGGCCCAATGTAGTTTAAAAGAATTAGACATTAAAAATAAAAAGTTAACAGAAGAGCTACACAAATTGAAAGAGGAATTGAAAGAGAAAGAGAAGAAAATTGAAGGTACAAAGAAAGACGCGGAAGATAAAGATATACAAAAAGATTCCAATGAGAAAGAAACTGAAAAGAATTATCGAGGTAATCATTCCAATAAATACAAAGACAACTCACAAAATGGACCCAATCAAGAGGAACACGCAGATGAGAGACACAGATTGCAACATAAGCAGGGGCCAGACAATAAAGAAACTCAACAACAGAAATTAAAAGGAGAATATCAATATGAGATAAACAGATTAAAGGAAGATTTGGATAAAACCACAAAGGATAATGATTGGAAAATTCGAGAGTTAGAGGCTAAATTACAAAATGAAGAACAAGGAAAAAGTACCCTTCAAGCTCAGGTGAAAAAAATAACGTTCGAGAAAAATGAGGCACTCACAAGGTATTGCCTTTTGTTTCTGCTTAACAATATCAGTAAGATTACTACGTATGTATCCATGCATCTACATTGTTTGCTTTGATTATTAATACCAACACCAATTATAAATTAACAAATCGAATAAAATACCCGGTAACTAACTATAGATAAAAAAGTCCTCCTTTTGATGGGCAGGCATACATTGTACTAGAATCATGCAAGGAAAAAGGCGATAACTGATATTTATAATTTTGTTCTCCAGGATTTAGTTATACCTTTATTACCAGTAAACTCCATATAACTATTTTACAGAATTGAAAAGATAATTTAAAAATATATTATAAATACATGTAATTGTTTTTCAATTTAAATTGTTTTTAGACTCAGTGAAATAGCGGGAAGGCGGCTTCTGGAAAACAATCCATCCATTGCAGACCTCAGCACAGAGATTCGACCAACCAAAATCGGCGAAAACTTCAAGCAACTCTATGATAACGAATGGACTGAAGCATTTGAAGAGCTAACAGAACAAGGAAAAACAGAAGAGGAGTGCATCGAAACCCTTCTACATATAGTACAGGTAAACTGATTTATTTTGGTGTTATTACGTTATTCGTACACCTGTTTTAATATCTTGAGGTGATAATACATGAGTTTAATGTGAATTTGATTGCATATTTCAAGGATACATTTACTTTTGCAATGGAAGAGGCAAAAAGTTTTGAATCCAGATTGATATCGATCGTCATATCTTTTCCTGGGAACGCAAATGTAAGTTTCCTTCGTGACGTTTACCTTATAGAATTTAGAGCAAAATGTTGACATAAATCAAAATCGTTGAATGTTTGAATTATTGTCCTTTACTGCTTAATGTAGGTGTTTAAGATTAAATTTGTGGCTTATAACATAACTGATGGTTTATTTATTTGTTTAATTATTATTCTTCATCCCGAACATCGATGAAATATTCCTTAAGTAACCATAGTGTCAAATCCTTTTATTAAAATTTGGAACAGTTGTGCATTTGAAAGAACACCTAAGATAAGACAATGATTTTTCTAAATACTAGCAGATTAAGCACCTTTTTAAAAAAAGGTGAGTAAGAAATCATAGTAAAAGTGTGTCACCTAGTGGATTGATTGATTGTATACTGTTGAACGTCCCTCTCCAGAATTATTCACTGATATGGAGACGTCACCATTGCCGGTGAAGGGCTGCAAATTTAGGCCTATGCTTGGCACTTACGGCCTTTGAGCAGGGAGGGATCTTTATCGTGCCACACCTGCTGTGACACGGGGCCTCAGTTTATATGGTCTCATTCGAAGGCCGCCCCATTTAGTCACCTTTTACGACAAGCAAGGGGGTACTGAGGACCTATTCTAACCCGGATCCCCACGGGGCATCACCTAGTGGAAGTACAAAGCATATTCTCATTCTTCAGTGTTATTCTTTGTTTTCACTGTATTCTTATGATTCAGAACTATTTGAACTATTAAAGACCAGATAGTGATGCAGTGGGACGTACTCTCAGAAGTATTATATTAAAACATTCATTTCGTAAGTTCAATGGTACAATGGCCATGTCAACAAATACAATTCATAATTGAGTCGAATGTTGACTGACGTTTTCATACTAATTGTTAGACAATTCCTTACATACTGAATTGTCGACGACGGTTTTTTCTTTCTGTTTTATCCCTTTCATGACAAGGAGCACACGGCGGGTGTGACCGGTCGGCATGGGATGCTCACTCCTCCATCTCACCTGATCCCACCTCTGATGTTTTGGAGGTCCAGGATTGCTCTGCTCCAAATTATTATGTAAAGAACTTTTGAGCTTGAATACTGTTCGTCATCTCCATATATTTTATTCAACACAGAGCTCCAATACAAACACTACCAAAGACGAGGAGGAATTAATCAAGCAACTCAAAAGAGTTTCCGCTGCCAGAACTTGTACTGCTGTACAAGATGTAAGTTTCTCCTAACGTACATGTTCTATTGTCCTTCTTTCAAATATGTATTTATCATCATATCATGGATTTCAGATATCATTAGAATTAAATAACATATAACACATTAAAATTATCTTTGTGCAATTTATTTGGTGTTTTTTGAATTTGATAACAAAATTGGTAATGTACACTCCTCTTTAAAAAATTCATCGTAATTTTAGGTGTATGTTAGGGAAATTAAAATAAAGGAAAACATAGGCGAAAGATTAAAGCTGTATGCTAGGAAATGCATGGAACTGTGTTGGTATATGGCAGTTCAATCTCCGCCTATGGTTATTGTAAGTGCTGTGCAATGTAAAGGACCTTTTGATGAGAAATATTACTCACGGTACACAGCCACCGGAGATTTGATTGATTATGTGGTTTGGCCGTGTACGCTTCTGCATGAAAATGGTCCTGTTTTGGCAAAAGGGGTCGCTCAAGCAACTAAAGACAACAGAGAAGCCTTTAAAAGAAAACAGGCACCTGCGGCACCTAAACAAAATAGTGATGAACGATGGTCCTCTACAAAACAAGGTGCTGTTGGTCAAGAAGGAATAAGTAATCCAAATACAAGATATCAAAAGAAGGACGAGAAAAATAAAAACGAGCAAAATGTTCATAATAAAACTGAAGGTGGCCGATTTGGACAAAGTGATGGTTCAACTAAAACTCAGACGAGAAGTAAAAGCGTCTACGTGAAACCAGGAACTAAGGATGAATCATCCGTTGGCGGACTAGCACGAAGTCATTCCGTAAAAACCGAAACCTTCCCAGATAACAAAGGGAAACATGTGACCACAATTAAATTATAAAACGGGAGATGGTGTATAATACTTTAAAGCAACAAAGTGTAGATTTGTGTATTTACTTAATCTTTCAGAAAAGTACTATACAAATTGGTGGCAAAGGACATTTTTATATATTTCCTTTTTACAAAATAAAAGAGGAAAATGAACAATTACGGAAAGCCAAAGAACAATATTTTATAAATCTGTTTAAACCAAAATTGAACTGTTAAAAGAAATTTATATCAAATTATCTTATTATGTACATTTTATGTAAAATGTTTCTATTATTGTACATTTATAATAGGCGCTAAACTTTGATCAGATGAACTGTAAAACTCTATCTGTGGCCTCTTTTAACTGTGATTATTTTTACGTCACAATCATTATGTTTAACGTTGCCGACATAACGTCATAGAATGACGTCATAATGTAACTTGTTTACAATTTCAAATCTACAATGACTCCGCATGGGGCGAAAGCGCTTTAGATAAAAGTTTGAGTTTATCATTTGTATTTGGATTATATATATATAAAATACATGGTTACTGTCTTAAATAAAGCGATATTTGGGCGAGGGTAAGAAACTGATACGAGGTTAGTTTTTCGTTTTC